AATAGCAATTATTCTTCAACAAATCACAGCTTAACTCATTGGCTGAAAATTTATTAAAGGACCAGTGCTACCATAAAGCAGAATCAGGATCTGTTCATGCCCTTTATGCAACCATTCCTCTCTGTTGGAAAACAGATTCTGCTATTTCCTATTTCCTGTCTTGAATCCCCCAAGCTAACTTGATGCAGTCCTGAAATAAGATTAAACTGGGAATCCAGTCAACTTCTGTTTGTGGAACAACATGGCTGCCCACTGAGAAAACCTGTTGCCTGGTTTATGCCCTATGTAGCTCTCAAAGAGGTGGAGATTCACAACAGGCCCTCTCTTGATGAAAGATGTTGCATCTTAAACGATACGTTTTCATCAATGTGATGCAAAGTGGACAGCTACTGTACATGTCAAAAAGGCACTGATGGAGTAGACTATTTTGTCTCTTGCAGCAAAAACAACAAAGTGTTTTCTGGTTCCTTAAAGGCTAAGAACACTCATTATTGCTGCTGCTGTTGTTTTAAAAAAAGAAGTAAATCATCAAAGAGAAGACAAAAGAGAATCCGGCTTTAGATTGAAATGTACATTTGTTAATGGATATGTATTAAGGCATTCCCAGAAAGCGGTGCTGTACTTTAAATACAAGATCCCTTGGTCTGCTGCTCAAATGCTGACAGTTGATGGAAATTTCAATACCTCTGTTGCTCCCACCTTCTAAAAGTGCTTGAACTTTACACCAGGGAAGACCATTCTTTCAATAGAAGAATGCTTCTGAATGTAGCACTAATGATCAGCTTGGCATGAAGTTAACTGTTGACATGATTAAAAAAGATTGAATTGCAAAATAGTAGTTAATTGTCCGGTATAACAGTTCAGCTTTGCACACACGCGCACACACACTCTCTCTTGCACCACCTGTCTCCTCAAGGAAGGCCCCTTCTTTGAAGGGAGGAAGAGCTGTTATGGAGAATTCACTTCTCACTTTTTGTTAGATAGAAGCATCATAAAATACTCACTTTAATCATGCCTGCTAAAATGGAAATAGGTGCAAAAACACTTGGGCAAAATATCATCTTGGCTGGTTATGCTGGCTTGGAATGATAAGGATTATAGTCCAGCACATCTGCAGACCACCTGATTGATGAAAATTAGACTCATAGCCTCAGTTCCTAAGCATAATGATTTCATAATATGCATTTCATTGTGACATCACAAACAAGAAAAGAAGCAGCAGTGTTTGCTTCCTGATCTTGTGATTCAAGAGTCTTCACTTATCTCCCAGCTGGCCTTTGCATTTTCCATAACCACCTAGTGAAAGGCAATTTTCCCATCCCGTTGACCCACAATCTAGTCAGTTACTTATCCCATACATTTACTTAGTTTAGATGTAATCAGACCAAGTGCTAACACATAGAATGATTCACCTATCAGGTACCCTATTTTACAATTTTTTTGATTTTGGGACTCTTCTTCTTTTTTACCCACCACTAATGTTAAAATCTCATGGCCAGAAAGTTTTTGCCTGCTGCAGATGTAATCAGTTGGGGCAGTATCCTTGTTGTGATTACAGTGTGGGTACATAGATTTACAGAGGTAACTCTTAACCGTCAGCTGATAACCCTAATCCATTTGGCGGGGAAAGAAAGCACAAGACAACCAAAATAAGTGGATGCAATTGATTGGTATGCAAAATTCATTAGCAGGCAAAAACTTTTTGGTGCACAAAAAACCAACAAGAGCCAATTTTGGTTTAGAGTGTTTTGCAAACCCAAAGATTTATAAATGATGGCTTATGGCTCAGTCTTTTGTACAAATCCAACCAATTGTATTTTTTCAGTAAAATAACTGATGTATGAATCCAGTCATAATATCCCTAGCTAGTTTCAAAATAGGCCAAACAACACAATGAAGAATTGGCTAGCAATCAGATGGAGTTTAGGATTAACCATTAATCACATCCAATAAACTTCTTGGAAAATTTTTCATAATTAGCCAGGACTTGTCTAAACTTGCTTATTCCAGTTCCAGATCCTTAGTGATATACAGATGTGGCAAGATGCTTGTAAATATCAATCATTCCCCTGGCACGTCTGCTGCTATTCCATGGCTAAAAGCCAAACTCCATTTGAGACATGTTTTTCCAACCTGACAATACAATACAGTAACTTCTTTCTGAGGCTGCAGGGACTACCTTTCCCTTCATGCAGAGAGGCTATTGGAGTCCAAAAGAACTCTTGTTCTTTTTTGCCCACCACTAATGTTAAAATCTCATGGCCAAAAAAGTTTTTGCCTGCTGCGGATGTAATCAGTTGGGGCACTATCTTTGTTGTGATTATGGCATGAACATAAATTTAAAGAGGTAACTCTTAACCATCAACTGATAATCCTAACCCATTTGGTGGGGAAAGAAAGCACGGGACAACCAAACTAAGTGGATATAATTGATTGGTGTGTGAAATTCACTAGTGGGGGAAAAGATTTTGGTGGGCAAAAAACCAACCAGAGCCAATTTTGGCTTAGGGTGTTTTGAAAACCCAAAGATTGTGATTTGTAAATTATGGTTTATGACTCAGTCTGTTGTACAGATCCAACCGATTGTATTTTTTTTCCAATAAAATAATTGAAGTGTGAATTCCTAAGAAAGAAAGTCTGAGCTTAAGTTTGTAGTCTCAGGACCCGGTACTTCCATCTTTTCTTTTGGCTGGGTGAAACAGCATACGTCCAATTCAATCTTCACTCCAGTTATTAAGAAATGTTGCTCTGTCAGCATATATAGCTCTTGACTAATAGGAAAACTCCCTAAGTTTTGTCACCCTCTCTATCTATGCAAACTGCACGGAAAAATACATTCATAAGTAAGGTAATTTATTGTCCCAAGAGAAAACAAATAAATTCTTTTTTTTTTTTTAAACCTGCCCAATATTAACATTAATGTCCAAATTTAATTTATAAATAATAATTAAAATGGGTTGCAGGGGTAAGGCACTCTTGGATACCTCAGAATCTGATGGTTGCAAAGTTCCTGAAGAATCTTTCAGGGAGGAAGGAAAAATACTCAGCACATGCTCAAAATCATGTTTAAAGAAAATTTCTCAAAGGCGAGCATTCAGCCAAATAATCTACATATTTAATTCACTATTATTCTTAGGTAGGTCTGTCTAGGATTTTTACTATTTTATACTTCCAAAGGAACATTTTATTCCAGCCAGTGCAAGAAGTGATCTCCAAAAGCTTTCTCGTTTCAGACCCCTTTATGGGGGACCGCTTTGGATGCCCACTCATTTTCTCTATCAGCGGGGCCCATCTATATGAACTCCTTGGTTTGGATATGGGAATAACTACAGGTATGAATTCTGGATTAAGGCGTAATGTTAGTTTATCCCTGTGGGAAAATGCAAGAACATTCAAGCCCGAAAGAGCTTAGGGCTTGAAAGAAAGGGAATCCAGACTTTGAAATACAATACAAATAGGAGCATTCCCAAAAACTGTGTAGTGCATGTTCTGTGCATGCATACATACATATCAGATCTCCCTCCGTGTTTTGCATCAGAGGTAATCTACAGAGAAACTGTACAATGCTCTGATAGCATCTCCACATTTCAGATTCTATATACAGTAATCTTAGGTTCTTGATCTATAGGATAAAACCTCTTGGAAGATACAGCGATGCACCTGTGGTGTGTTGCTCTGTGTGTTTGTGTGTGTATGGGGGTTTAGGGGTGCTTGTTTGTGGGGTATAAGTGGGATTAGGGTTAGGGTTCAGGAATGACAGGCCCTCCTAACGAGACAGCACGATTGTCTGCTGGGTAGACCAACAGCAACTCTAGGCAGTCTGCTTGACACCTTCTTCCTAAATGGCATCTGAGGGGCTTATAAATGAAATGAAAGGTGGACAAGAACAGGGCAGTGATGGAAGAGAGATAGCACAAATAATTCTTTAAAGCATTTTTGTGGAGAACATGACCCAGTGGTAGAACATGTGTAGAGGATCCTGGGGGGGGGGGGGGGGGCTGGCTAGCCACTGTTTAACTGGACCAATAGCTCATGTTGATAAAAGTCAGCTTCTTTCTAGGTTCCTTGAGTCCTTTTATTTTAGTCCATATGTGGACAAGGATCTTCATACATTCATCCATGGAAGAAATGTTTGATGTATTGTTAGCAAGGGGAACGTAGAAGAGAAAGTCAAAAGGTGTGAGAAACCTAAATGGATCCACACTCTTACATTTTGCTCTCCCGGCTACCCTTAGGTTTTAAAACATGGCTGCTTTGCACACTTATTCACTATGTTTTTAACATGTCAGCTCCAATTTGTCATCTTCATATGCCTTGGAGAGAAGAGACAAATATAGAAGAAATGAAAGGAACAAGAAGGTGGGATGGTCAGTGATGGACTGTTGGCCTGACCAGTTCTCAGTCTTTGCAGTGAGGCTTCTTTGCTCAGGGCACCCTTAGAGGGCTGTGCCTGGCAGTTCTGGGTAAAAACAGGAATGGGAGAATCCTGATGGGAAGGGATGGCAGTATGGATTGCTCAATTAGCTAATTGCTCAATGTTGTGGTAGGAAAAGATAGAATTAAGTGAAAGAGGATCCTTAGACAGAAGAAACTTGCTTTTCTATTTAGAGTGTTGCCCCTTGATCATTTACCCATGGCTTTTTAGCTAAAAAAGAGTTGAGGAACCAATTCCCTCACTCTGACTTTGTTCAAATGTTTAAAGGAAAGAAGAATGTAATCACCATAACAGTGCTCCAGCATCAGGAGAAAAAAAGAAATCAGGCTCTCCTGGATGAAAACTTTTGCCTTGCTGGCTTTAGAAGTACACATAAATACAGCCCACCGGAGTTGGAGCCGTTACATTTCAAAGCAAGCAGATTATTCCACTAAGCCTCTCCCATCAGGGTGTGTCTTGGCAGAATATGCTCTGGGTAATGGAACAGAGCACACCCTGTGAGGACTATAAATGGAACCAGGCAACACTGCAAATGCTAGCTTCTTCATGCTAAACCAAGCCGAGTAACAGTCTTGCACCTGAACTTTCTTTCACAATGTCTACATACTATTACCAAGGTTCTTCTTCTTCTTATGGTGGTGGTGGTGGCGGCGGCTCTGGCCGTGTTGCTTCTGTCCGCCTTGGACCATCCAGTGTCCATGGGGGAACTGGTGGCCGTATATCTGCCTCTTCAGCTAGGTTTGTATCCTCTGGGTCAGGATATGGAGGCGGTTATGGATTTGGAGGTGGCTTAGGAGGTGGCTGTGGTGTCGGATATGTTTCTGGTGGTGGCATTGGCTATGGAAGTGGCTTTGGTGGTGGAGTTGGAGGAGGCTACGGTGGTGGAGTTGGAGGAGGCTACGGTAGTGGTTATGACTTTGTGGTTGGTGGTGGTGGTGGTGGTGATGGAGGCCTTCTTACTGGAAATGAGAAGATCACCATGCAAAATCTCAATGACCGCTTGGCCAATTACTTGGATAAGGTGCGAGCTCTAGAGGAGGCAAACACCGAGTTAGAGATCAAGATCCGAGACTGGCATCAAAAGCAGGCACCCACCAGCCCAGCCAAGGACTATAGCCATTATTACAAGATAATTGCGGACCTCCGTGACAAGGTAAGACCCTGAAGAAGGAATTATGTTGATGTTAAGAGATCAGGTTTTGGAAATTTCTTCTCCCTCCTCCTCCTCCTCCTCCTCTTTCTCCTCATTGGTCCTTTTATCCATTATTCAAAAGTGCCACTATTGTTATTCTCATCTTCTGGACTATAACTCTCATGCTTTCTTCCCATTGGCTATGATGGCTGGAGAAAATGGAAACTGGAGTCCAAAATATCAGACACTAGATTGTCTAATCTGTGGCATATGAATAATCAGATGTTGTCTAATTTCAAATTGTGGACTTTTAAAAAATTAGATCAAGCAGAGACCAAAATATATACAGTATAGTCTTTTTTAGTGGAATTAAGCGTGTATGTATGAATGTGTGTGTGTGGACAGACAGACAGACAGACAAACAGATGATAGCCTTTTTAGTGGAATTATATGTAACAAAGATTTAGCAATAGAAAATTAAAAGTGGATGAAATTAAAACCAACTAATATAAAGAGAGAGAGAGAACCAGTTTGGTGTAGTGGTTAAGGCATCAGGCTAGAAATTGAGACCATGAGTTCTAATCCTGCCTCAGGCACAAGGCCAGCTGAGTGATCTTGAGCCAGTCACTCTCTCTCAGCCCTAGGAAGGAGGCAATGGCAAACCACTTCTGAAAAGCCTTGCCAAGAAAACTGCAAGGACTTGTCCAGGCAGTAGGCAGTCTTTGAAAATCAGACATGATTGAATGGATTAAATAATAATGAGATTGTTCTTGATGAAATGCAGCTGTATATGTGAACATAGACTGTAATGGAATAAAAAACTCTCTCTCAGCCCTAGGAAGGAGGCAATGGCAAACCACTTCTGAAAAGCCTTGCCAAGAAAACTGCAAGGACTTGTCCAGGCAGTAGGCAGTCTTTGAAAATCAGACATGATTGAATGGATTAAAAAATAATGAGATTGTTCTTGATGAAATGCAGCTGTATATGTGAACATAGACTGTAATGGAATAAAAAGCAAGTTGGAATGAAAACTCTGCTGGCTTGGTGGCTCATTCACACATTCATGTCAGCATAGCAGGTAACTTGCAGTTATTGGCTGATTAACATAAATGGGTGAAGCAACAAATATCTTAGTATATTCTCACAATCACATTATATGAGAAGCTGCCTTATAATGCATCTAACCATTGCTCCATTGCGAGTCAGTATTATATATATAATTGGCAGTGGATTTTCAGGGCTTTGGACAAGACTATTCTTGGAGATGTTAAAAGCAGACTTGAAACCTTGTGCATGCTACAGCCATTCCCCACTACAGTATTCTTTATTCCTCATTAAGCTCTTTTTAAGTGATATATTGATCGTTTTGCATTGCTTTTCTGTAATTTCCCTAGGCTATTAAAATAATACATGTTAAGAATGACCAAATGATTAAACTAGAGCACTGTATTTCTATCAACAATATTTGTTGTTTGGAAGCAATTCAGATTTGCCCCAAACTGGATCTCATTTCTCCCAAATGTCCATGATTGATGCTACTTCTTGCACCATTCAACCCTTCTTAAGGCAAAGAAATTAGGGCTCGTATCTTCTCTATTTTGCCTAAGGATTAAATTCCACTAAAGTCAATACAGCCCACCTTGATGCAAAAAGTTTGCACTTTGTTATTTAGCAACCACATAGATCTTTGCTGTGTGAAGAAATGTCTAAACCCATTATCATTCGTCCTCAATCAATATTTCTGTGGTATTTTCTGTCCATTTAGAAGTGAGGGAACTGAAAAATATTGGGCATAATGAATCCACCAGAAACAAAATGTAGACGTCCTTATCTTCAACTGACTTCCCTGGAATCAAAATGCTAAGTCCCAATTGATTTCAGTGGACCAGTCAGATATTTTTTGGAGAAGCCAAACATGCCACTGATCACATGTAAGCTGATTCAGTGTAATGCTGAGCCACAGGACAGCATTAAGAATCACATGTCTCTCTTCTTCTTCTTCTTCTTCTTCTTCTTCTTCTTCTTCTTCTTCTTCTTCTTCTTCTTCTTCTTCTTCTTCTTCTTCTTCTTCTTCTTCTTCT